CTTTGCAAGCAAATAGTTTTTTATTTTTTCCCTTTCAAATTCATTCATAGATATATATTCTTATAATTATTATTTAACATTTATCTATTCAGCATTAACCTCTATACTCATTTTTACATACATGCATACATACATACACACACACACACATTACATACATACATACATACATACATACATACATACATACTACAGTTTGGATCACTTTCTTGCCACCACATGCCTCCATCTTATTTTACAACAACCTTACTCCTTCCACCTTCTCAACCTCTCTTCTCTACCTTCTTCCTCCTTCCTCTCCTTCTTTCTTCTTCCCCTCTCTTTCCCTTCTATTCCTCCCTTCTCCTCTTTCTTACCTTCTCTCCTACTCTTAATTCCCTACCCGCATTTTCTCTGCTTTACCCTTTCTTCATTTCCTTCCTCTTTCCCCCTCCTTTCTGTTGTTGCCCTTGCTTATTTATTTTCTTTGATGGGTTCTCAGGGATCTAGCCACTCTCATCTTCATTTGTTCTTTCGTCTCCTTGGCTCTTGCTCCTTCTCTTAACGCCCTTTCTTGTTGTTCTTTAGCTAATTCTCTCTGGTTTTTTTCCTTCTCTTCTTCTAGTTTTGTTCCTCTTGCCTCTCTACATCTCTCTTCTTCTTATGGTCCAAAATATTGTTCGTAAAATGACTCTGCCTTCTCTACTGTATCCAGCCTGTGTCTTTGTTCCTGCCAAGTTACTAGTATCCTGGTATTAACCATTTGAAATTAATTCCTTTTTTATTAGGCATTTTGTCAGGAATTGATATTCTCTTCTTAGATTTCTCACCCTTCTTGGCACTTGTTTAAGAACTATTATTTCTTTAGATTTATATTTTATTGTAGTATTCCTTGCAGCTTGCAGGATCTTTGTTCTCAGTGTTTTCTTAGTAAATCTTACATGTACTTCTCTGGATAATTTATTTCTTATAGAATATCTTGTATGGACCCTGTAAATTTCATCAATCCCACTTAACACCTTTTCCTTAGATTCTTCCAGTCTGTATGCCAATATGTCTGCCATTTTTTCTGCTAGGTTCTCTTCCTTTTCCTCTTCAATATTTTGGAATCTTAAATAATAATCAGCTTTGTCCATCTTCCACGAGATTTTATCTTTTCTTGATTTTTATCTGTTGTTGTCAGTCTATAATTCATCTTCATTTTCTTCTCTCCTGTTTCCACCTTTTCCTCCACTTTCTGTAATCTTTGCTCATTTTTTCCCATTATCTCTTTGACCTCTTTCAGATCTTCATCCACTTTGTTTATTCTTTCTTTGAGGTCTTTATGCATAGCCTGTAACATACTCTTTAACTCCATACTGGCTTTATTTTGTTGCATTTTTGTACTGTAGGACTTTAGGTTGTTGCTGTTGATGAAGAATATGCTGTTATCTTCTTCCTCTTTTTGATTTATTTTTGTAATCCAAATGTTAAAAAAGAAGAGAAAAAAAGTATCCAAATTTTGAAAGTCAACACTACAGGTCTGGTGGACCAAGCTCTCAGGTTCTTCTTAACCCAATTTGTAGTAAAGAGTAAAAGGAAGAAAAAAAACCAAATTCCAACAAAAAGAGCAAAGAAAAAAATATAGTAAAAAATTGACCACTGTTGTAAAATAAAAATATGTCTTCAATCTCCCTTATTCCCTCCAAGCTTCAGGTTCTTGTTACCCTAATTCAATTGTAATGAAGAATAGAAAAAATGACCAAATTTCAACAAAAAGAGCAAAGGAAAAAATAGTAAAAAATGTACCCTAATTGTAAAATAGAAATATGTAGTTAATCACCCTTATTCCCTCCAGCTCTAATAGGAGGAGAGAGAAAAAGAGAGAGAGAAAATAAAAATAAAATAAAATTAGAAATAAAAAGGAAAAACCCAATAAGTACCCACTAATTAGAGAGTTACAAGGAAAAAACAAGGAAGGTGTTGATTTAAAAAAGGAACCGGGTACAGATCCACCTAAGGAAAATAATTTCCATTCTTAATACAAGCAAAAAGCTCCACTGTTCCAAAATGTCAAAGTTGTAATCAGGCAAGCAAAAAACAAAAACACCAAAAAATAAATAAATAATTCCACAGCTGGTGTTTTGTCATTTCTTGTTCTTTCTAATATATTCTCTCTGCTGCCACTAGATGCCATTCTTGTTACTGAAAAAAAATAGGTAAGGAGAAAAGAAAAAAAAATCCAAAAGCAACCACAGACTTCCGAATTCTTTCAGTACTCTTTAAATATTCAACATCAAGATTTCAAAGTTTCGTTAGCAATCAACTTTGTCCAGTTTGCTCTCTATTTCTCCAAACCAACCTCCCAAGACTATTTAATGAGTCATTTATCTGTATTGGCATTCACTTCTCCGCTGCTGCTTCCTCCGGAGGGAGAAAGGATAATCACAAATCCACCCCCCACTTTTGCCTTCTCTCTTTTTGTTCTGAGACAATCAGGGAGGGGGGAAAAGCTTTTGAATACAGTGTTCCCTAGGGCAGTATCACTATCTCACCCAGATGCTCCAAGCTGCTTTCTTCTCTCTTTGTGAGGCCGCCCCAACTCTGACAGCTCACAATGGCTGTCTTCCTTCCGGCTGGATCAGGAGCTATTGCAGACATTCTACGGGGTTTGTAGCACCCCCATTCACATCTGCCTGTACCCCCATTCCTCACTGTCCCTCCAAGACAGTTCTGACCTCTGAAGAGGTCCCCAAAATGTTAGGATATCACCACTCCTCTGGAGAACCAAAGTTTGTGTGCATACCGTTGCGATGCTGGCCCCTCCCCCGCAACTTTGAATGGTCACTAAATGAACTGTTGTAAGTTGGGGGCTACCTGTTTGCAGTCCACCTTCAGTAACCTGGATCACCTATAAGGGCTGTGAATTGGAGGTACTGATCTAAGGTAGTTCCATTCTTACTTGAGTAACCAATTCCACTTACTAGTCATGGGGAAATAATGATTGAGCCCACAGAAATGCAATAGAGTTCCTGGTTGTTCCAATATGAAGAAATCCTTTTCACACATGGATACCCATGCAGTTTATAAATGACATTGTCCAGAGAGTTTATTGGTTCTCTTCAACTCATATTCAAGCAGAGACCAGCTACCATTTGTGAGAGATGGTTCAATTTAGATTCCTCCACCAAGCATGGGGATGGACTTGATGTATAGTCCTTATTCAACATTTCTCTAAATAAGCAGACTGATTTTTTAAAAAAAATATCATCGATTTTCGTCCTCATATGTACTTAAATTGATTTCCTCCAGTCCATTTAGTTAGTTGAGATCTTGTAGTGGTAAGCTGAGAAAATTGGTTGGAACATAGTAGAACAAATAAACGATTAACCCTGTGCATATCATTTTTGTTTGGCCTAGTTTTCTAAAGTATAATTTAGTACTCACACATAATCTGGGAAGGTTTCCAGGTTCATGCCTTGTTGCTGTTGTCATTTGAAAAAGAAAGATAAATCAATATTATGCAGGATTTTTCAGTTTTTCTTGTACCTCGTGCAGCAGTGAAAATGAGTTATGCTTGCATCATACACTAAACATTCACTGTAAGAATAGTAATGTTTTCTTAAATGGAGCTTAAGCCAAATTGTTGAACTTTCAACACAAGTTTTAGAGTACCATTTTAGAGTATTACATCCTACTAGAAAATCTTCTCTGTGTCACTTTCCTACAGAGAGAGGGAGAGGGAGGGAGAGAGGGAGAGAGNTTGAGGCATTTTTGCCTTCCCTGAGTCCCCAGAAGCACTTTGCAGGCTTCAGCAGGGCTGGGGGAAAGGCAAAAATGCTCTTGTTTTTGCAAAAAACTGGCCATTTTCCACAAAAACAGAGGTGTTTTTGCCTTCCCCCAGCGTCAAGAAGCACTCTGCAGGCTTCAGCAGGAGCTGTCTGAATGTGGCTTCTCAGAGCAACACGCCACTCTGATCATGTGCTCTGGTGATCAAAAAAAAAGACAGCAAAGAGCCCCAGCCTGGTATGTCCCCGTCCCCATCAAAACCTTTTGCCACTATTTCGGTGGGCATGGCTTGGTGAGGTGGGGTCATGTGACTGAGTGTGCATGGGTGATGTCAAGTTGGCCATGCCCACTCAGTCACATGCCCACCATACCGGTAGTAAAAGAAATTGAAACCCACCCCTGATGCACACGTATGGACACATATCCATATCCAACTGTATCTAAATGTATTCAAATACTACAAAGATGAAATTATATCAACCAACCATATTCACTTGTTACATCCTAACATTTCCAAGAAGATTCCGTTTCAAAGACCTATTTTTACAACAGAACCACATTCTGTATTTTTTTTAAAACAACCATGCGAATCCTATATTTTATGACTACTTTGTGCACAATAAATGAAATATTTTTTTCCACAAAACTGAACAATTTTAACCTATGAAGAAATAATTTTGAGGAAAAAGAAAATCACTCAGGGCATTCCCTTGACAGAGACAACAGCAAATCAGAATGTTAGAAATCTCTCCATTCTAAACTCTCTGCTTATTTCTGATGACATGACTTAGAGTGATGATCTGCAGCTTGTTCCAGTGCTGCACAGAGATGCAGAACACAGTGGGAGAACAGTAAGACAGTAACACAGAGATGCAATATTTTACTCCTTTAAACATTTTTCACAGATGAATGAAAAAGAATTCCAGAATCCCTGTTCTGCCTGCTTTCTCTATCGTGTTTATCTGCAGTTATTGTGTTTTTCCCTTTTTTTTTGTACATCATCTAAAAACCAGGCTTTCTCAGTCAAAAAGTCATGGATAACTAGCATATATACAAATTATGAATTCAAGAGAAGATTCCTTTGAAAATGAAACTGAGGAGAAAAGAATTGCCTTTCATCTTTGTTCTTCTTCCATCTCTCTGACCCCATAGTGTTTTCTCCCTCTCCCCTTCTCTTTCTTTATCATGATAGTTATATAGATAACAAGTTTTATGGTAGTTACTCATTAATCACTGTAGTCATTGCTCAGCAAGAATGCCTTTTTAATTTTAAATATACTGGATTTATGAATGTTATAATTCATAGTTCTAGCATATATTCAAGACTGTGGTTTGACAAAGGATTTTTCTTTTTCATTTATGAATACTAGAAGCTCTGCTTCTTACTTTTATGGTATTTGAATAAAAAGCTGAAATATGATTATAAATTTAGTATTCATCCAGGACAATGTTTTCCAAAATGCATTTGCATTTTTATCAAAGAAATGCACATCTGGGTTCTACCAAGTAAGGCAAAGAAACAATGAAGAAACCTTTACATAAATGAGATCCAATGGCTCTATTTCTTTTTTAGGAATAAGTGCAATCTTTCAACCTATGGAAATGAAATAAATTTCCAATTTAATGTTTGGGATAAAAATATTTGATTGAAACTTGATAAACAAACAGTAGAAAAACTGAACATGTAGAAAATGTTCTTAACTATCAAATAAAGTGAATACTATATAGTGATGGGAAATTATTGGTTTTTGAGGAATAATAAGGATTTTGTTCCCAATGATTTCCTAATCTACTAATGGGCTTCCCTAAACTTTCATATCTTTATATTCACAATGAAAATAAAATGCATTTGATAAAGCCTGGTTTCATTTGGGATCTTTGCTGCCAAGAAACAGATGATTATCAAATGATGTTGACTTCAATGGATATATTCTCTACAATTAGGAAAGAATGTGCAAGTGAAAGTGAGGTTAAAAATAGACAGTTGTAGCATTGGCCTGATTCTTGCTTTTATAGTATCTTATATTACTTCAGTGCAATTTTGGTACATAGGACCAAACATTTCCTCTTAACATTAAATGACAATTTGTTAATTACTTATTAAATCAATAAAAATAAAAATAAAATTCAGATGTTTAAAATACTCCACAAGTACCATAAAGGTAAAGGTTCCCCTCACACATATGTGGTAGTCATTCCTGACTCTAGAGAGAGGTGTTCATCTCCATTTCAAAACCGAAGAGCCAGTGCTATCCAAAGAGGTCTCCATGGGCATGTGGCCGGCATGACTAAATGCCAAAGGCACATGGAATGCTGTTACCTTCCCACCAAAGGTGGTTCCTACTTGCATTTTTACATGCTTTCCAATTGCTAAGAACATGTAATGGGAACTCACTCCATTATGCAGCACTAGGGATTTGAACCGCTGAACTGCTGACCTTCTGATTGACACTCTTAGCCACTGAGCCACCGCATCCCAATGCAAGTACCATACAAACTTGAAATATCAGTCCTTCTGACTCTTAGATAATGTACACCAAAAAGAACAAAATCCTTCCTTTCATTTCCGGATTGTTTTTCTTTCTTAATGCAAGATCTTCTCAAATGCCAAAGGGAATTTAATTATTTTCATTTCTCTCTCTCCTCTTTTAACATGGATTGATTTTGTTCAAAATATAGAAGTATTATAGAAGTAGAAATTTATTTAATAATTCAACATCTATGTATCTCTTATAAGGTTCTTTCCTGTTCTCCTCCACCTCTTGAATTGTAGAAAATTAAGGATACCAAAAGGAGATATTCAAATCAAATTGAAATCATTCAGAACAAAAAGCCTGCAGTTCTGAAAAGTCCCACACCTGGTGAAGCTATGAAAATTGAGGAAAAGCTGATTCAACTTACTTCCCAATGGGAAAAAGTTAATAAGATATATTGGGATCGATGGGCGTAAGTAATTTCTTTATTTTGGTTTGCTACCCATGATAAGCTTCATTACATCTGACTTACAATGTATGGTTAAATTTTATCTTTGTGAAATAGCTTGTTGATTTCAGATTGAATATGTCTTAATATTTGGACATTGATAGTGGAAGAGTTAATAGATTCATAGAATTTTCTGACAAAATAATTGTCAAAAAAATTATATTTAAATTGCTGCATCTAAGATAAATACAGATATGTCTACAGATAGAAATCAAGTAATTATTTCCCTGACTTTTAAGTAGAGTGTTTGGAATCACGATAGATTGATTTTACCCATGCAAATCATCTTTTTATTGATATTCTTACTAGGTATGTATAAATATGGTTATTTAATTATATTAAAAATTATAAGGTTCTTCACTGTTAGCTAAGCCAATTATGTGCTGAATCCATGTCCCTCCTATGTTGTGAAAGTGGCCAAAGAGATGTTCTGTGGTTGACTCCATGCTATAGTATGAGGGAAAAACTAGGTCTCCAAGCTTAAAAGAAGCTGTGTTACAGTCTCTCCTCAATAGGCCATCCTTGGACACAATAGCTTTAGACAACTACTAATCTGTCTCCAACCTTCCCTTTTAGAGAAGTAGGTGCAGGCGGAAAGAAGTCTGGAGTTAGTGAATTATTTAATTTGTGTATCGCTTCTCACTATTCTAAGAAGGGGTTCTAATGTGAGGATAAACAGTAGGGGGGATAGTGGGCATCCTTGTCTTGTGCCTTTACCAATCTCAATGTCACCCGCCTCTTCTCCGTTTACCAATATTATCGTGGTTTGTCGTACATAAATTGCCCGAATTGCATTTAAGAAGCTTTCTCCAAACTTCATGTTTTCTAGTTGTGACAACATAAAATTCCAATTTACCCGATCAAAAGCCTTTTGTGCGTCAAGAAACATAAAGGCCACTTGTTTATCTGGCCGAGCTTCATAATATTCTAAGGCATCCAAAATAATTCTGACATTGTCTTTCAAATGCCTTGACGGCAGGAAGCCGTTCTGATCAGGGTGTATAAATTTGTTAAGGAAAAATTTGAGTCTATCTGCCAATATATGTAGCTGCAAAGATTTTATAATCCACATTCAAAAGTGAT